TCCTGTTTCAACCTCCCAACACTGTGATTACAGGCATGCGCCACCATGCCCAATTCTTACTGCTTTTAAAATCAGGTATCTTCATAGACAATGATAAGGAAATCTTTCTGTAACTCATTCCTGATATACTAATTTTAACAGAGTGTCTCTGAGAATCTTCCACAGAAGTCTGTTGATCATTTATCTGGGGCTGCAGATGAAAAAGGAAAACATACAGGAAATAGACAAGTAGAAGGTAAGAAATATATATAAATATATGATTTTTTTAGAAAAGTCATTTGACAGCATTTTTATTTAAAACCAGAGCATTGCTGTATTCTAATAGCCAAAGAAAATTACCTATTAGGTGCATAGTAAGGAAAAAGAGAAGTAAAATAGTAGTAAGTTACATATATCAAGTTTCAGCAAAAGGTTGAATTTGAGAGAAACAAAAGGAGCTGAATTATTAGTTCCATTTCAAGCTATTATAAGGTCTGAGGGAAATTAGAAAATAAGAAAAGGAAAGGAGTGAAGAATAAAAAGGAATGGAAGGAATAAATGAAGGAAAAAGAAGAAAGTATGGAGGGTGGAAAAATAAAGTAATTCTTTAGAAAACAGAAGAGCAAGGTATGAGAAGTGTAAGAAGAATATAAAATGAGCTTTCAGTACCAACTCTTGATGGAGAAGTAGAGCAGAATTTTTCCACTTACTGTCTCATTGTTGGGAAGGCATTGAGGATTGAAGTACTGGATTATGGAGAGCTGTGTTTTATTTATTACAGATAAATATAAACATACATGGTCAGCCATACATGTGTTTTCAGTGGTACCTTGGTTCATGAACATATGATTCTGGTTGCAGAATTTCATATAAAATGTTGCCACTTTTAAAAGTTGCTGTTTCACCAAGTAGTATATCCAGAATAAGAGCATTGAAAAAAAGAAATGAATAAGATTCATTATGGAGAGGTCAGGAAAGTCATACCATCTTTAAAAAGTCCATTAGAAAGCTTATGACTTCTTATGCTTTTTCAGTTTGGGGGACATGATGAGGAGAAACTTGACACTAGATTCTGGAAAGGTAAGTTTAGGTAAAGGGATTTGGAAGAGACTTGGTGTATAGGCTAGAGCTTTTCAACTGCAATGAAACCCCATGTTGGGGACTGTGTTAAATCATAACTCTGATTCAATAGGCCTTGGATCTTGTGTATCCAGTAAGTTCTCAGGTGATGTCGATGCTGCTTGTCCTCAGCCCACTGGGAATGGCCGGTTATCAGCTTCCCTTTAGAGAAATCTGGACAAAGATCCATTGGATAGTAGTTCAAGACAAAACAGGGTCAAGGGAAAGCATAAATTTTGTTTTTATTTCTGAAAATGTTTCTACCCACAGGAGAGGAGCAAAGAAGAGAAGAAATAGAAATTATAATCCTATGATACCACTGCCAAATAAGTAGGAGGACTAATCCATAAAAAGAAATAAATTGTCAGAATTGAGATCATAGATCTAGAGATCACTTTTGAAAGGTAGAGGGATTCTTTAGGGGAAAGAAGAGATGAAACAAGGAAACTAGACAGGTAATTTGGAATTAACAATGAGGAAACTTGAGAGAACTCACTTCCCATGGCCTCAGCGTATGTGAACACAAGTGGAAGAGTAGATTATTGCTGCTCCAGAGATGATTAGAAGGGAGGAATGCTAGAATGGGGTTGAACTGTAGCCCCTCACCTCCTCTCCATCTGTAACTATCAGGCATCAGAGCTTTAGGTTGAATTTATAACTGGTTATTCACTTGAGCTTAACTAGCATATAGAAGGATTGACTTTTTTTAAGATAACTAATTTTTGATACAATAGCTTTTTGTTGCAATAAAGGATATTCACACAAATCATTTAAAGACTAACAATGTACCAAACCAGTTTTGGAAACAGACATTATAGAGTTCATTCCTTGAATACCACAATTGTTACTTTTTGGTAAATATTACACTGATTTCAAAATATAAAAGGTTATTGCTATCTAATAATTCTATGACAATTCAGCTTATTTTCCCCTTTTTGATGACCATATTTCAATATTGAAAACTTAGTGTGCATTATTTCTTAGATGTGATTTATATACCTTCTTGTATAAGTGGATCAAAAAACTTTAAGATGGCTAAACTGGAGGACACAGGAAATGTAGGCAAACCAGTAGCCCACAAGGGTATGGAAAAAATG